GGCACCGGCTTTTTCGGCAAATGCTTCTAGCTAAACAAATTAAGACTGGCCGCCAGAACTGGCAGGGCACATCCCCTTAAAATTTCAGCTTTCTAGCTTACCTGGCTCTTGAGTTAGCAACTTACTGGAAAAAAAACTTTCACGGGCAAGCACGTGGATACCACGTATACCCGATGTCTGAGTTTGAGCTCGTTGAGACTTACTTGGACGGGAACATCCTCTTAATACTGCAGCTTTCTAGATTCCCAGACCCCGAGTTACGAACTTACCCGGAAAAAACTTTGGCGGGCCCGTACGCGAGTACCACGCTTACCAGAGGGCTGGGTTTGAGCTCACTAATACCCACTTCGAAGGGGAACATCCCCTTAAGGTTTCAGCTTCCTAGCTTCTCAGATCCTCGAGTCACGACCTTACCCGAAAAAAATTTTGGTGGGCCCGTACGCGAATATCACGCTTACCCGGAGGGTGAGTTTGAGCTCATTAATACCTACTTGGAAGTGGAACATCCTCTTAAGATTTCAGCTTCCTAGCTTCCCAGATCCCCGAGTTACGAACTTACCCGAAAAAAATTTGGCGGGCCTGTACACGGGTACCACGCTTACCCAGAGGGTGGGTTTGAGCTCATTTAGACTTACGCGGGCAGGGGACTCCCCCTTAAAATTTCAGCTTCCTAGTTTTTCTGATTCGCGAGTTAGCAGCTTGCCTGTAAAAAGCTTTGGTGGGCTCTTACGTGAGTACCACGCGGGTAAGACCGCCCATTTTGGGGATGGGGGCTCGTACGCGCATGTAGATGCATAGCTGCAAAAAATGCATAAAAATGATATATATTGTAAAGCAACCTATTTTTTTTAAAAAATTTTTTTAAAACAAACTTCTACCTTGGCGATGAAAAAGAACGTGAAACGTTTTAATTTGGATTTAACTCGGTTGATAAATTCAAATCACAAAGAGATTAAATTAGCTGTATGGGATTTCAAAATAAAGGTTCGAAAAACTGCAGTATTTTTGAAGTACAATATTATAAATGATGCACTGGAATTTCGCACAAAAACTAAAGCGAAATAATGGCAGTTTATTCTATTTCCACATGTCGCGAGCATTATGCATCAATTGTGTCGGCTGCTAGACAGCAGTTAATGCCGCGACCGAAGCTCCTTTTGCAACACACATAAACCTCAAGAAAATCAAACACCGCATTCTTCGCTGCCTGCGGATTCACGAAATCCTTCGCGCAACTAGCCTTGTGCTCCATACTCAGCATTGAAAGCTACCGTCAATTTGCTTTAATGTGTATGTTCCATGCAAATCTTAAATTTACTGAAAAATGCAATGCAATTTCGCATTCTATACAAAATTCTGTGACGTCTGCAACTCAATATGCCTGGCCAAAAATGACTATTTTCGATAAAAATGAGCAACCCGTTCTGCTGGAAACACAACTATGCAGTGCTAACAGCTTGTACCAGGCCTTGCTTCTCCAATATTCTAAGGCGCTTCTCCACCGCACTTTTGTATTTCGAAAGGATCATTTTGTCCGCTTCACTGGATACTTGCTCCGAGAGTGTGTGAAGCATCATGTAAGCGGTCTGGTACCTGAAAATTGACTTGTGCTTAGGCAGAAAAACTGCAGCAGACCGAGATGAAAAGTCTATCTTTTGTTCGTGGATACTTGATATGGGAGAACACCTATTAGTCAACTGTGAACCCCTAATCAGTAAGCTGTGGCGGTTAACCTGGCTCCCTCCACCTTGTTAATCTATTTCCGGAAAAGGACTTTCTCAACAAGACAATTTCTTCTCACTCCCCATCAAACCCATTCCCTTCCCTCTTCCACAGTTTCACACCTGGCTCCCAATTTTCTGCTTACGTCGGGGGACAAATTTAATATCAAATAAATTTATCCCCCGACGTAAGCAGAAAATTGGGAGCCAGATGTGAAACTGTGGAAAAAGAGAGGAAGTGGGTTTGATGGGGAGTGAGAAGAAATTCTGTTTTGTTGAGAAAGTCCTTTTCCGGAAATATATTAATTTTAGAAAAGGATTAAAAGGAAAGGAACCCCGTGCCTATATGCGTTTTGTGCAGCCGTTTCACAGTACAAAACGCATAAAACCGTACCGTTGTGAGCACAGATGAGGATTGCCAAAAAGTTCATCCAAAGCAGCACTCTGACACAGTTCAATAGCATGCTTGTACATGATTCGTTCAGCCGATATTACCGCCATCGCAGGATCGGGACCTGGCAGGCCCAACGATGCCAGCTCTTGTGATCGTACCTAAAATTTTGATACTGACTGCTTTAATCAATCACAGTGTTTCGGAAGCACACTAAAGATGCGAAGAGTACTGCTTCATCCGTGGAATATAAACGGTTTAGTTGCTCGCCAATGATTTTCAAACTACTTCCTCAACTAAAC